GATATTTCTAAAGAAATGTTTTATATCGAAGTTACTACAAACCACGTTTGATTATTGCCCTTCTTTGCTCGAATTTATGAGGCTACAAATTATTTTTTTNAAAGACAAAATTTATTTATGACAATAATCTTGTACAATTTTTTTATGAAAAATTATGTAAGAAACATACCATTTTTGCAAAAAACAAACAAACTTTAAAAAACGTTTTTGACTAAAGTTTTCATTATCATTATTATTATTATTTCTTTGAAAATGCAACAATACTTTTATAATATTTACAAAACATTCTGTTGATAACTCAATTTATTGTATTCTGTTCTTTATGAAATGTAATATAGAATATTTATTATTATTATTTCTTTGAGAAAATTCGAATTCAAATTAAATGCAAGTTGCTCTCCCTCTTCTTCTTCTTCTTTCTCCTCAAGCAATGTTCACTTTACTTATATTAACTTCCTTCTGACTTGTTTGCACTTTGAAAAAATGTTGTAAAATTGTAATAATTTTTACTCTAAACCTGTTATAATTTTATATTTTTATTAATTTTATTTTAAAATTATGTAAACTCTGTCTAATTAGTTTGAAGGGATGGGCTTAGACTTGTTGTGGCTTCAAGTTATGAGGTATAGTAGGCCCTTCACCCAGAACTGGATTTGCAGGTAAGCCAAACAAGATACAGCTTGAGGCCTCATATTTTAACGTAAATAATTATTTGGTGGAGGGAAAGAGTCTGTTACATGTTACAAGTCTCCAGCAAACAATGTCACACGGAAAAATGTAAGACCCTAAGGCCCTATATCTATTCTAATCTATTTTCAAGTCTTATTAAAATAACATTTAATTCTCCCCCACCCTCCAATTTTTTTCCATCCCTCTTAAATTAAATTCTAAATTACTTTCTCTTATATTGAGTTTAGAATTGTGTAATTTATAGTCAATATNTACGTTTATCTAATATCCATATTTAATTAAAGTGCAATTTGTCCTAGTTTATTAATATTTAACCAAATACTCGTTTACATCTCTAAAGGTTTACGGTAGAAAAACAACATTAAATATAGCTACTAATTTAATTTATATTTAACTCGTAATTTAAATTAAAGCCAGGGGTGCGCATTATACGACGATCTACCCATCGATATCAGGTTTATAACGTTTAGAATTTTATAAAATTTCGTTTTATTTGAAAATAATAATAGTAACAATTGGTTTTTATCATTTTTTATATATAAAATAATCGATATTTAGAGAAGGAGCAGCTGTTTTTGATGTTTTTAATCGATACTTTTGAAACGAAGATTTGATTATTTGAAAAAAAAAGAAGAAGAAGAAGCAAATTTATAGCTATATTTCGTTGAAAATTAATGAAATATTCGCAGAATTAAACTAAAATTTATTCAAACTAAAGTGGAATTATTAAAATTCAAATTGACTAATCAGAAAACCCGTCTGGCAAACTGCAATTTTATGTTAAATTAAAACTAATTCAAAATTATGGTTTTAATAGCATTAAAATATCTTTTTGATTATGATTTTTTTCTTCTGGAAAGGTTAAATGCTTCCTCCCTTTCTTTCTTCCTGCTTCCTGTTGTTTTTTTTTTTTTTTCTAGTTGCAAGGGGCCCAGAAAACATTTAAATTGCTTGGGCCCGCTTAAAAAGTAAGACCCAATTTACATGTAACTTTCCAACCAGTTATAGCTTAATTAATGTGGCACAGGAGAAATTGAATTGGGGGGGGTCCGGTGTGCAGTTTTGACTTCAGACATTATTCTAGGGAATACTTTCTTATGGAAGATTGTTTTGGTGTCTCCGTTAGTGAGGGCCAAGACAATTGCCCTTTTTTTATTCACTGGATGAGGCACCACTTCTTCCAACGAATTCATATTTTCTAAACTTTTGGAATATTGTTAAACTCGAACACTAAGCAGGGGTCAATAAAATGTATAAAATTTAACAACCCCTGTATATATTTATATCAGGCAAATTTCCATTTTTGCTTTCTTTTTGTTTGTCTAGCCATTTAAACGCTGACTTTACTAAGTGACTTTCGTTGTTCTTTCTCAAAGACAATGTACTAAACCTTAAACACGCCACACTCCATCATTACAGCTACTATTTATGCAATCGATAGTTCTTGTCTGAACATCCCAGATATGTTTCCTCCCCCTTCCCTATCTTCCCCCTTTCGAAAGAAAGTCGTATCATCGATTGCATCAATATACTATTAATGAAGTAAATGCCAATAGAAATCTCACGTATGTTCCCTGGAATATGTCAAAATTAATCCCCCGAATTTATTATATATTGCACGGTTTTATAATTTTAAAATAGTGATTAGAACGTCGGGAATGTCCTTCTGGATCGAATTTAATTCGATTTTAATCGTATTTTTGTAAAAAAAATGGCCGAAAACTGAAGCAAAACTCGTACGAATGTAACAGCTTTCCAGGGCATTGTTGGGAAAATAATGCATTAGTGGAAAAGCTTCATTAAACATGCGAATTTCTAGAAATGCATTTCCTTCTGGTGTAATGCTTTCTTATAATTTTAAAATTGAAGCTGCAATAAGACGAAATCTTTTATAGAAAAAAAGAATTCACGATTTATAGCTACGCATTGCTATAAATCCGAATGATATATAAACTTTATAGCGTTACAGACATCCTTCCTGTTCCTTTTTTTTCTGTTAGTAGACACCACAATTGCATTATATGTTACTAGAAAGAAGTCTTAACTTCACTAATTCATAAAATAACACCAGCAATTATTTATTGTAAACTCTTTATAACACCGGGCTGCAATTTTAATTATATTTTTAATTTAAAAATATTCGGACAAGACCGGAAGTTCGTATACATAATCGATGTCTCGGCTCATAAGCTTTCCATATATGGTCTCGATTTTAATATTGTTTCGCCCCTGTACATCATACTTCTCCTTATAACAAGCGAGTCATGCTGGTTATCTCTCTAACTCCGTTTTCGAGATTAACGAAAGACAAACAGACGGTAAGTAATGGTCTAAAATTTGACAAAAACATAAAAATAAACAGAAAGCTTAAGCTAATAATTTGTTATATTTATCGAGTGTATAATAAGGAGGAGGAGGAGGGAAATATATTACTATTTTCTCCTCTTTTTTCGCATCGTCGATACGGTTAATCCGGTTCAGTAGCTTGTTTATCTGCAAGTTTATCGTTTGGCCAAGCCATATCAGCAAAGTGTTGGTCCAAAATAACTTTTGTATTGACTTTCTCTCACTCTATTACTGATCCATACAACTGCATGTCTTCTCTTTCATTTTATCAGATTTCTCTCCCTTTGTTGATATCGAATCATGCGTATGATATCAAAAACCTATTTGAGATCGGTATTAAATATGTAAAACGTGATGCATATAAAAAAATAATCAAAATTTTATATATTAACATACATAACTTAGAAGTTTTCTTTCATTTTTTATGGCATCGTATATTATTAATGATGCTAAATAAATATGGAAACCTTTATATCTTCATTTATTTTAATGTAATTCGTGTAAAACACGTTTAAAATTCATTTCTATCATATCAAATAGTTTATAATGTATTAAAATATATTAAAATTTATTATTTTCGAACTAATTTTGATTAAGAAATTCGTATTTTAAGATGCATTTTTTTCTTTGGAATTTTGCAGCTGATTATTTATTTTTAAAAATCTTTTTAAATAAATAATTAGATAAAAATTTAATTCCCATTTTATAAAATACTTTTTAAAGCTTTATTTATATTATATTAGTATAATAATAAATTTTTTCAAGTCTCCGTGTAATTATCCCTAAGAAATTCTGTAATAGTGATAATTAAATTTATTAATTATTTATAAAATTATAGTTAATTTTTAATTATATTCCTTTAATACGTGTTGCAGAAAGTCCCCTTGAATATTTTATAAATATTTTAGTTATATATATAACAGGATTTATTAAAAGATGCTGCAACTTACTCATATCTAGAGATAAGACATCTATCTATTAAAAATCATATAATTATCACGCATATAAATCATATAAGTTATATGATTTTTATATAATTACTGCATTTATTTATAGTTCACTCCATACACTATATCATATAATAACGATTTTAAAAATATATATTTTTTTCAGGTAATTTTCTATTATATTTACTAGTTTAAACTGTGTGTTTTATGCTGTATTCGAGTGATATATGTCTTATAAAATACCTAGAAAACAGCATTCTTCTATACATGAGACATTTACTATTACATTTTGGAGTTTATAAGTCAAGGAGAAAGGTGGTAAAAGGGGGGGTCATTAAATCTGACCCCACTGTTGAGTGGGGTCCGACTTAATGGAAATTTTACACGTATGGGTTTTTTTAGCGTTTTGGCATTTATAATTCTTTATAAATTCATCCCTTACCACCGAAAAATAAGGCTTTTCTGGTTTTCTCTTCCAACTTTTCCACTGCCACACACCACAAAATCATGCACCTTGTTTTGTATTAAAATATGTAAGAATTTAATTGAGTTTTTATGGGACTTTTTTTTCGGTTTTGAAAGAAAAAAAACTCATCTATAAAATTATATAAACTTTTTATTATTATAATTTTAAACACGAACTTGTGTCGACAATTGAAAGAGTCTTAAAAACTCTTTTTTTGTTTTTTTTTTAATAGTAAAACATTCATACATAAATTTTAATAATCGTATACAATGAACGAGATTCGTCTTTCTGACTGATATGCTCTTGATGACTAAAGTTCGTAGAACTAATAAAATTCGCGAAATCTCCATTTATAATGTACAATGAGCTTTTCATGCTGGCGTTTACTGGCAATATTTTATTTTTAGTCATCTTAAAAATTTTATTTTGATCAATTTTACACATTATTTCTCTTCAAAATTAAATTTTCAATAATTAAATTATAATAAAAAAAAAAGTAATTTTTATATCATTCATCTCAGAACAATACCTTTTTTATTTTATCCCTTTGACATTCTTTAAGATTAATGTTTATATTATGTTTTAATTAAAATATACCTTTATTATTCTTCGATATATAATTAAAAAAAGAGGTTTTTATACGTTTTTTTAATAATAAAACACGAAAATATCATCCCATGTAGACGAAAAAAGAATAGAATCTTCGGTCTGCCATCAAGAGTTATTCAAAAAGACGACACAAGAAAAACTGTATATAGTCAGGTGGGATCAAATTTTACTTGACACCAAACAACATCCAATATTCTTGTAAAGGTAGGCACTTGAACGTCAAGGGGAAAACAAAAGTAATAATTTAAAAAAAGAAAAAATACAACTGAATTTAAATCAGACCTGAACAAGTGCTGCAGCGCCCATAAATAAGCAAACAGAAAAAAAATCCCCCCAACTAAAAAACCGTCAGGATATATATATATATATATTTATTTATATGTATATACATCTTAAAATTTAACGATTGTATAACCTTAAAACGCTAGAAAATATTTCATTAAATAAATGAAATGGTCCCTGAAATGGAATAAGGTAAATATGAAGTCGCAATTCAAGCTCTTTACAACCTCCCTTGAAGCTAGTCATCTGCACCACTTATACTCGAGTTAAGTGGGGTAGAAGATATTAGTAATTTTCTCTGATGCAATTTCGACCAAATTACGAACGTCTAGAGTATAATACATAAGCAATAAAGACAGAAAATACAAGCCTTTCCCTCCCCCATGTTAAACAACTAGTGATAAATAACAACTCCCTCTTGGAATAAGCAATGGTAGAAGTGTAAGATAAAAGACACGAAGACGTCGACGTTGTACCAGATATCACCAAATTATTGAGCTACAACCCACTTTTCGAATGTCGATTTGGGTTACATGTTTATACATAAGTTACATATCCTTAGAGACTGCTTGCCTTAACGAATTGCTTTTGGTATGTTTTAATTGAGCAGCACAATCCTCTAAGGTAAGCAATAATGACTTTCCGGGTAGTTTTAACTTATTAAAATATTACTTAAATTACTGTTTTCGAGTTTTAAAACTGTTCATTCTGCTCGTTTCTAGTTTGTTTATCGGTTTTGATTTTAATCCTCCAGAGAGGAGGTGATCCGCTTTGCTGACTTCAGGAGGATTGTATTTAATTACTTGAATATATATTTTATTTCTTTTTAATAAGTTCGTTGGATGGTTAATGTAATGAAAAATTGAAATTTCCTTTCGGCTTTTAACATTCTTCTTGATGTTTGAAGAGGAATAAATTTACTTGAATATTGGTTTCTTACGCGCGATTTTAATGAATTACTAAGTAAATTTTTTAATTATTTCTATCTTATTAACATGAAATTTAACTAGAGTATTTCACTATTTTCCTGTCTTAAGTACGCGTTAGGTACACCAAATTTCCTGTTTGATGCCTCGTAAATTATGAGACTCGAACCCCCGTTTAAAATTCCGCATCGTACGATCTTCGATAAAATTTTTCGACCTGACCATAAATGGCTTAAACTGATAAAACTATAATTATCTTCTATATATTTTGGCACTTAAGGGTTGTTTAAAATTCGTCACGTCTTGTAATAATTATCAGCACTGCAGCACTTTACCAAAAGAAATCCTTCAGTAAACCGAAATTGTCGCTCCGATAGGGCTCTCCATTTCGTAAACGTCCTTCCTTAGAGGTCTTCTGATCTTATTGGTCTTCCTGTTCTTCCTGCATCTTCTAATACCAAATGCCACCATAGCTAAACAAGCTAAGAGTGCCAAAGCACCACCAGCAGCAACGTAGAGGATTGGGAATCGTCGGCAGTGTTCTGATGATTCATCGTGTCCCGATGGACAGTGTTCGTGACCATCGCACCACAGCTCTGGTGCGATGCACGCACTTAATTCTGGACATGCATGTAAACAATCTACATTTCTCATGGTTTGCCCAGATTGAGTTCTCAAATAGAGTTTCGTGACTTCGATCCACCGAAGTCTGAAATAACCTGGCACGTGTGCTACCGCTTCCAAGACTACTCTATCTGTATAATCGATTCTGTGGTGACCATAAGTGTCATTATACCACGAACTAGAGAAAATATTCAGCTCAGTTTCTCCACGGCTACAGACCGATGCAACTGGTTGATTAGTAGGCCCTGCGTATACTAGTAACCTATTTTCACCCGGGCATTTTTCCGAGCCGTCATATCCCCTGACTTTAAGGTATAGATATCGTCTGGGTGATGCCTCTAATATCCAATGGCATCTTATGGGATATCCTCTAATTTCTTGATTAGGTGATACTGTAAAGTCTAATCGGCCTTGGCTAGTTTCTTGTTTCTTCCTAACTCCTTCGCACGCTGTAGGGATGAAGAATGTATAATTAGCTTCAAACCAATAATTGTTAAAATCTTCAAAAGACGACATTCCCACGATGATAAACGTCATTGTTACTTCGGGACCGGAAGACTCTAAAATGGCAACTTCGTTTAACCCGTGTGTGACGTCACATAGACAACCCACCGTCCATGAAGGGATGGTCCTTCTTTCGGTGACTTTAATCTCCGAATGCTGTCCAGAACCCATTATGTTACATTTATGTCTCTGAAAGGCCTTGTCATAATAATGAGAACAGATCTCGGAAGGTAATCTGAGGGAACTGATTTCAATTCTCACCCTCTGGTTCCTTGTAGCCGAAAATGTATACGTGCAAGTGAGATTCGTCCTTCCTCCCCGACCGTACAAGAAGAGATTCCTTGGAGAAGACAAATTACCCGCGTGTTCTCCGGAGCTGGAAAAATGGCGGTCGCATCCCGTGCTCATATCCCCTTCTATAAACTCGTACCTGGCTGTAAAAGTCGATGCTACTGCGGATAATTCCTGCCTCCCTGTCACGTGATGCTTAATAGTAACCACTGAACTTGTAGATAAATAACTCTCTTCCGGATAAGAGCAAGGACGAAGAGGGACGTGACCTGAATAATCCGCAGCCCTCGCACACATTTTCGGATGGGATTTTTCGCAGAAAGTTAAAGTGGAATTTCCCGAAAATCCGTAAATATCGAGGCGCCCATTAAGACACGTTTCACTTTTCGAGTCTTCGTCAAGTCGTCTGTCGTCTCTGACGTAATAGTTTAGAAAATATAACCATATCCTGTCCCTCTTACTCCTTCCGGTGAGTGTGTAAGTGCAGGTAATGTTATTGGGCACAGTATGGTGGGGCGTATACAAGACCCCTCTTCTCTGTTTGTAACCGTCAATGCGGAAAGAGCATTTCCCGCTCCTAACACGAAATTCTGAAGAATTCACAAAGCGAACTTTAATCTGCAACTCCAACCTCGAATCGTAAAGCACTTGATAAGGAGCACTTTTCAGCATCACAGCGGCTTCGGGGCCACTGGTGATCACTTCGGGTAATGAACCAGCACCACAAAATTCTAGTAAAGGCTCACTGCTTGAACCATCGTACACATCCACCAAGTCACCAAAGCAATTAGAAGTCAAGGAAGTGCGTGGCAAACTTCCTGTATTGGAACTACCCACGTATATGGATATTTTATATTCGTTGGGTTGCACCAAGATGATCTGAGCCTGACAACCATCAGGTACGAACTCTTGCCTGATTCCATACCTGCAGGTAATGTTTCTTGGATAGAAACCAGGGAAATTTGGCGAACGTAGAACACACTTCCTCCTGTGGCAATTGATGAACTCGCGATCACAGAAACTTCCTGGTACTCTGATTCCTAAATGTGGTGAATGCTTCAAGGAACCATCTGGCACACGACTCGGCAATCTTGAAAGGAAGCGATAAGTCAGATAAAGGCTGAAAGAATCGAAATGCATTGCAGCTCTGCTAGGAACCACCACGAGCAAAGTGACGTTGTTGCCCTCTGAGTAATATGTTGCTCCAACACCAGCCATTTCTCCACAAAGTTGTCCAACTACGGGTTTTCCAGTCCCTCGTTGAAAATATCTATCCGAAGAAGTCAGGATTTTAGTGTAATCTTGTACGTGAAGACCTCGTATGGTGCTCCTTGGCGATTCCATAATTTTCATAAATCCTTTCTCGCAGACGGCTGTATGGTTCCTGAAATGTAAATTAAATAGCGTTACTCGTGCTTGATTTTTTTAAAAATTAAATCATTAACAAAATAAATTAAATAACAAAATTTAAGCCTGTATATTTATCAATTTCAATGATAAATAGCCTTTAGTCATACTTTAGAGTACTTTTCACTCGTCTCGACCACTAAAGTGTATCGAGACGAGTGAAAAGTGCCAATTAAATAGCTAAAATATCGAAAATATTCATTTATAACTTTAAAATTGTGTATCTATAATTAATTTTTGAGATATTTTAAATATTTTTAATCAATTTATGAGGATAAAAATTAGGCAAATTATTACTTTTTTTGTATTTTTATAAGTTAGTGCTTCCAGATATCTGTTTTTTTTATCTAACTTTTTGTTTGTACTCGGTGTGATTTTGATTCGTTTTAGTCTCTCAGGACGGGGACAACTTTCCATTAACGTTATATATGTCTTCGTATTTATTAAATTAATTAGGGTAACGAACCGTAATGGCTGAGCTCTGGTGCCCACGTGACTTCCCTATATACTGACACTCCTCTCTTTCTCTCGCTCTCTCTCTTCTTCTCTTTCTCTCTGCCTCTTCTTTAATGTTTCAATTTTAAAACAGTTGATAATTAGTCTTAATTTGCATCGTACTTGTAAAATTAACGAATTAAAACACGTCTTTTTGAACTTAGATATTTAAATTTTGTATCTTATATGATTAAACAGTAAATTTCTCTTCTTTAAAACGTTACAAATTAAATTTGACGTTTGATATATTAGAAAAATATTGTTGAAAGCATGCCAAGAGGCCTTCTATGGCCAGCCCATTGATCAGGCACGAACCTATGTTAATTTGTTAAATTATGAGTAAAGGAATCTCTTACATCACTCCATGAAATGAAGAAATTTGATACACTAAAAAGCTGTGAGCGATGCAAGTTATGGCCCGAGCAGGCCCACAGATTTAGGGCCTCATTTTTTCCAAAAAATCATAAAACTACTTTGAAGTTCTCTGTGTTGAAGCTTGAAATACAGGGGCCCTACTAACTCTTCTATCTGAACTGATCTTAGGAAAATCAGTAAAAATTGGGTTGAAATATATTTACTATGAACTAATGAAGCTTAAGCTTCAGGATTCCTAATCCAGAAGGGGCATTCATACAATTTTTTTGGATGATGCCCTTGTGTTGCTGGTTAAGAAGCGTCCCTCATAACAGTACCAGAAATGTAACTTTTCCACAGTTTCTACGATATAAACAGGCATAAAAAATTGCTTTTTTATATATTTTTCAACATTTTTTTCCTCTTATTCTCCAGAAAGCAAGTAATTTTGATCGTTTAATACGAGAAAAAGATGAAAAAAAGCTCAGTTTACTCTCTAATCTCATAAAAACATCTTAAATACTAATACTTCCCTTTATAAAAGCATAATTTGTACTTGTATAAATTAACAAATTCTGTACATTCTTTGTACAAAATAGCCTAGAGCTATGTATTAAAATTTTTGTAAAAGTTCTATTTAAAATAAATTATATTAACTTGGAGAAGAGGAGGAAGAAGTTTATAAAGATGCCGCAATTCTCCCATTTTAATTATTTGGGTGTATATAGGATTGTAAACACGAAGGAGAGAATCTTTCTGACGATAAACAAAATATACTGAATGCATATTCATTAGGCGTTTAATAACACAAGAGAAAAGGAATGATACATATTCTAGAAAAGAAAGTTCTCTAAGAGAACGAATGTATTCACAATTAGCAGATTCACTCCAGGGATTCTGTATAGAAGACTAAAGACTTTTCTTTCCACAATATATCGATTGAGTGAACCACTAACCATTAGCGACTCTCTCAAACGCTTTTCTTTGGGTCTCACAACAATTAAAAATGGCGTATTTAATTCCATTACGTTACGAAGTATCCACTTACCCTCCTATACAATGAGAAGAAGAGGAGGAGAAGGAGGAAGGAAGGAAAAGATAAAGTTTTATAAACATTAATTTATTTTTATTTTTCGCTTGAAAATGGATCTTTATATTATATATTCTATATAATTTTGTTTATTTTTTATTTATATATATAAACCAATTTTTCTTTATACGTGATCTGTTGCCAAATTCAGTTTGGATGCTGGAGAGGTGGAAGAGGAAGAGGAGGAGGAGGATGCTCTTTTTATCCTTCAGAATTCTTGACAAAAGTGGATTAAGAGCAAAAAAAACTGTTCTTTCTCTATCTCTTATTCGCTTTTTTTACAGATTATTCTTCTCACTTGATTATTTTCAAAGAATTTTTGAAAAATTTCATCTCTGGAATAATTTAAAATGAAATTAATTAATCCGAAAATATATTTTTAAATCACGAATTGCTTAAATAAATATATTCCATTTAATTTCATTAGAAGGATTTTCTCGTATAGTGATTAAATTACTGAGATTTTTATTTATTTATTTATTTTTATTAATGTTTATAGACATTAAAACGTGATTTTTACTTTAATTTTATTTTATAAACGTCACTTATTACTAAGTCACGATGCAGATTAACGTCACTTTACAATCAAAAATCGTTACGTTAGATTCGATTTCGTGCCTGGTGCCAATCAAAAATCATTTTAAATTCTATAAATTTGACTTAAAACTAAATATCTGTCACACTTTCTCCTCTTATATGCATCAAATTTTTATATAAAAAAACCCTTAAAAATTGGAAGAAAATTCGTCAAATTATAATAAAATATAATTTAATTTAATTCTCGAATTTTTATTCCTTTTCCTTATTAAATTGTTTTTTTTTTAATTTTTAAAGCAAAATTTCTCAAGAAGATGATCACAAAATAATGTTCTACTTTACGTCGTTATGACGCGAAAATCGTTACTGTTACGTAACAATAACATCTACTCGATAATTCCAAAGGGCAATTATTGCATAATTATCTCAAATAGGGGTAAAATATATAATAATTGCCTCTGTCAGGGTCAGTTACATAGTAATTTGTCTGACAGAAATTATGTAACTGAGTCTTTCGACACCTTTACCGATTGTTACGTAATAATACTGTTGTAAACAAATATAATTACGTAACAATTGTATTGTTACGTAATTGTAAACGCTCTATTCTAATTATTTCGTCATCAATGTATGAAACTGAGCAAAAATTACGTTTCAATTGTATTTTTTAGGACATTTTGGTCAAGTTTAAAGTCAACTTTAGAGCCCAAAATTCTACTTTTTTTTTATAGAAATTTATGTTATAGAACAAAGATTTCTTCGATTTTAGTTCATTATCGATGGGTTTAAGTGTAATAATTGTATTATTAACGCTTAAGACTGTACAAAATCATGCTATAATTTCAACAACCTTTAATGTAACAGCTTGATATCAATTATAGAAGTATAATTTATCATTTATCGAGCTGAAAAAGTAGAAATTATCACTTAGAATGGGCATTTTTGTAATTATCTCAAGTAGTGGAAAATTAATGTTATTGAATAATGGGCGAGAAGAGTGTTATTCATAAAGGGGGAGTCACTCACCTATCTAATTCCAGAGATCCGATCTGGAAGGACAGAAAGGTTAATTCAATGATATCTCCGTAATCTCTTCCTCCGGCAATGAAATTAATTCGACAGACGAAAGGTAGATAGCGTTGGAATGGCTCCGTGATCCTCAGTGGATATTTAATGTTGACTTCACCGTATATCGTGCGATTGCAGGCTGCAATAAAGAACCTATAATTATCATAAAGTCAACAACTGTGAAAGCTTAACCCTCTGGCACAATAAAGCTACGACACTTCACCAACTTTGTTTGAGTAACAATATACCGTACATATTTATGTAGTAAATTATTCTAGACTGTAACCATCGTATAGTTAAAAGGGGTGAAGAATCTCAAAGACCTAAAAGATTACTCCACCTTTCTCTTTTTTCTCCTTCTTCCAAGATTTTTCGTCCTTCTTTCCTCTTCATTCTTTCTTTATCCTTCTTTTTCCTTCATTTCCTTCCTTCTTCGCCCATGATTCTCCATCCCTTCTTCACCCTTCCTCCTTTTCTCTTCATCCTTATTCCACCTACATTCCTTCTTTCCACTTTTATTCAATATTCTTCACGATTTATTCTTTCATCCAAGTTCTTCACCCTTTTTCCTTTATTATGATTCTTTACTCCTCTTCCTTTATCATCATCCTTCACATCATCCTTCGCCCGTCAATCTCTACCCCTGTTTCTTTTACTCATCATTCTATACCCGAGAATTCTTCACTCCTTCACTTAACCATTATTATTTACCTCCACTTTCTTCACCCCTTCTTCCATCTCTATAAATCTTTACCCCTTCTTCCTTTACAATGATTCTTCACTCTTTCAGATATTTCATATCTGAAGGAACGAAGAATCTTATAAAAAACGAGAGGAAGTGAACAATTACGTTATTGGCAGCAGGCAAAATATTTTGAAGCGAAGAAAGTATAAGAGGAGGAGAAAGAAAGAGAAGCAGGGGAAAAAATGATAAGAAAAATTGTTTTCCTGTCAGTAAGATGGCGGATAAAGTATATCGCTGACACAAAAGATGACGGAACAATTACATCTTCGTCATATATGAGTCAAAAGGAATTAAGGAGAGAAAAATAAACACAAGAAATGGTGAATCCGAATTGCATTAAAATATCAGTTTATACTTATAAAAATAAATAAAGAACAGACAAAATTTAACATGAAATATTAACATCATAACTAGACCTAGGGCATGATATAAATTATTTAATTTTTAGTATTCAGATGTCCAAACTTTAATCATAACTCGGAAGCGATTTCACTAACTTAGTTATAAATTACTGTCATGTAACATATTTGCATTTAAGAATACTGTTTTAAACTTCTGTAAATTAGCACACCACATGACAGGGCTTCCTACATGATATAAAGTTATTGCACTTCATGCATATAGTTTAATACAAATTTCATTTGTGTATGCATTCATGCATAGATTAATTTTACATTAAATCTAATCTGAACTATTACAATTCAACGGTTTTAAAGCTTATGTAATTAAATGATCTTTAATTAACAATTATTTTTAATGTTATTACTTTAAAGAAACTGTATTAAAGAAGTAAACATTTATCGTTAGTGTCTTATTTTCTTATCGTTCAGTACTAATTTGCTGTTGTTTCTTTTTTTTTTCTACAGACCGCATCGTTTAGTAACTTTTCAATGTTCGCTCGCTTATCCCCTTGTGAGTCATCAGCAAATCAGCAGACATAATTGTTAAAGTGGTGATACAATATCTTATTATCTTCCCCAATACGACTATCACTAAAGGATAAAATTCATGGATGAAGTAGTAATGCGTGCTTCTAAGTGAAAAATAGCTAAGTAAGCATATGAAATGAACTATATCATTGGTTTGCTTACTTAGCTAAAAGATTACCTCTTCATTCAAGATATTTCATCTTTTTCCCTTCATATTCTTCGCCCCCCCTCCTATACAATGAGAAGAAGAGGAGGAGAAGGAGGAAGGAAGGAAAAGATAAAGTTTTATAAACATTAATTTATTTTTATTTTTTGCTTGAAAATGGATCTTTATATTATATATTCTATATAATTTTGTTTATTTTTTATTTATATATATAAACCAATTTTTCTTTATACGTGATCTGTTGAAGATGTATTTTTTTTATAAAGAAAAGTTATTTTTCTTAGAAAAACAAAATCTTTGTCAATTATAAATAATATCTGCTTTATAGAGAAGCAGTTAAAGTCGAAAATGTCGATGCGTTATCACATTAAATGATCCAAAATATGAAATAATTGCCTAAATAATTTTATAGTCCATCATACAGAGCACAAATTAAACTTAATCGACAAGTAATTAAACTATATTTATTAATAATATTCGGATGTTTAATTGAGATATTAAGTCTAAAAGATGCATAAGGCATTATAAATAACCATTTGTATCAGATGCTAGTTAATTGTTTAGTTCCTTTGCTACATAATTGCCTTCATATCATATACACAATTAACAAATGCAATTAAATCAAAACTCGAAGTGTTTACTCCTCGACGAAAGTATTATTGAACTAAAAAACTCGATATTTTTCTAAGTTGTAAGCGTTAAATAATAGGAAAATCTTAGAATAAAGTTTATGTTCGTATTCTCGATGCTCATTATATAACGTAAAATTAATAAATTTCACAGGATTTTTCTTTATGTTTACATAAACATTATTATGTTCAAGCTGAGGTACAAGAGAGACTGCGTGTATGATAACCAAAAAGGTGACACACCGAAGGGACGAGCGTAATCCTGTTACATGTGTCCTTTAGTGGATGTTGTGCATGTTGTCTGTCCACTGGGAAATTAGACGAAGTACTCGCTGTGATTGGTGGTTGTCTAGAGATCAATTGCCGGCCATACCATTGGTTGTTGTGTCCTGCAACATTTACAGTTGAGTGGACATGTCAACCGTCCACTGTCTTTTCCAATGACCAAAGGATAATTTGTAAGACGTAGATGTCAAAGCAGAGTGAGTTTCGGTGATGAAACGCGGATAATAACTGTTCAGTTTGCCACAACTTCCGCATGAAGTTCTCAACTAATGTACAAAACTATTATTAACCAGAGGACATCGGAGAAGAAGAAGGAGGAAAAGGAGGAGATGGAGGAGGAGGAGGATAAGAATAAGAAATAGGAAGGAGAAGAAAGGAGGAGAAAGAAGAGAAGAAGAAGAAAAAAGAGGCGATGGAAGAGGAGAAGAAGGAGAAGGAATAGGAAGAAGAAGAAGAGAATAAGGAAGAAAAGGATGAGGAAGAGAAAAAGAAAGAGGAAAAGGAGGACGAAGATAAGAAGAAAAAGAAACAAGAGGAAGAGAATCATGACTTTTACTAGTTTATAACAGTGTTAAACAACAAAATTTCTACTGAAAACTTATAAATTGTCCAGAAGTTTTTCATTATTTATTACAATAAATCCGATACAATTTAGAAATGGAATAATTTTTCTAAAAAAATCTGCTCACAAAACGAACTGGGTTAGCAAAATTTTTATTTCTACCTCTCTCTCTCTCTCTCTCTCTCTCNAGTTCTTTTTCTTTTTATTTTTATTAAAATTGAATTTTTTCTGAAAAACTCTTCACATATAAATTTCTTATGCAATTCTTTAATATATTTTTAGTTTCGCTTAAATTTGTTATTGTATAAATTATTATATTCAACAGATTCGTTATAATAAATAAAATTTACAATATTTTTACACTATCTTTCATTGAAAAAAAAAAACATGTAAACTGCACTTTTATACAATTCTATCGCAGAAATTATAATGAAATTCATTTTTTTTCATTATGAAATTATGAACTTTTCGAATAAAATTGAGTGTTTTTTTTCGAAATTAATCATTATTTTTTACTACTTATTTATTCATTAAATTAGATAAAATGTATATTTAAAAGAAAATAATAATTTTTGAACAATTTATCCATTCAAAACTGCAATAAATTCACTCATTTTAACAATATTATATGCAAAAAATTATTTGATAAGTATAAAATAGAATATCTGCTTGTCTGTCTTCTTTATACACTTCTAAATTCTTCGATCGATCTGCACCAAATTTTTCATAGTGACTCTAATATCTTGCGAAAAATATAGGCTTACCAAGAAACCTGAACACACCATACCTACCCCGATTTCATCCCCCATTAACACCTAAACCCTTCGATCAATCTGCACCAAATTTTTCGTTGTGACTCTTTAGGACCCTACGTAAAATATAGATTAGAAAAATCCTGGACACCCCACTCCTCTCCCGATTTTATCCCCTTATTAACTCCTAAACTATTACATCGATTTTCACCGAATGTTTCATAGTGACTTTTTAGGATCCTGCGTAAAATACAGGATACCAAAAATCCTGGACAGACTACGCTTCCCTTAATTCCATCCTCTATTAACTCCTAAACCCTTCCACCGATCTACACCAAATTTTTCGTAGTAACTCTCTAGGATTCTGCGTCAAATACAGGTTATCAAAAACTCTATACACCCTACTCCTCCTCTAATATTATCCCCTTTACACTGACAAATATAACCACTGTAGACTAAAATAACTAAACATCTAATGCTACCTCCACTATATTCCTTACTATTCTTTTAACCCTGGCACATCTACCAATTATTCTATAAATTATAAAACATAGGAATTGAGCTTAAAGTATTTTCAAGTTTAGAATATTANTATTTTTTTCCTATTTGAAAAAAATGCAAAATGCAATTATTTATTATGATTGCGTCACAATGTCAAGCTGCAATTTTTAACCATCTTTTAATTTAAAAATTCACGTGATTTCCATATATGATCTCGATTTTAGTAGTGCTTTGCCGGAGCTTTCCATATATGATCTCGATTTTAGTAGTGCTTTGCCGGAGCTTTCCATATATGATCTCAATTTTAGTAGTGCTTTGCCAGGACTTTCCATATATGATCTCCATTTTAGTAGTGTTTTGCCCCTGTAAATCATACTTCTCCTGATAGCAGTTGAGTTATGCTGGTTATCAAACTTAGTTCTGGAGAACATTTTGAATTGAAATCACTTGACTTCCGGTTCAGGCAGTAAGTTCGTATAGAGTTAAGGTATACGTATCATTCGTACACACAAAATCGAGACCAGATATGGAAAGCTTAAAACTAAAGACTCCTAATATTTCTATATCTGT